AAATTTCATTGTGTGGCTTCTACCACAATATTTCCTTCGAATATTTCCTACAAAGAGAATTTCGATCTTTTCCTACTGAGAGCTCTTTGAACGTGTGTATCTTTCCAAATAATAATAATAATTAATAATTATTAAGAGGACATTCATAAATTATCCCTGGCAAGCAAAATAATTCACGGTTGTGAAGCTTAAGAAACCACAAAGCTTGTATGCCGACTTTTTCTTTCCTTCGCGTTCCTTCGTCGCGGTATTCGACCGCCACTTTTTACCTGTCACGATTTTACTGATTGCATTAGTATTACATACGGCGTGATCAATGTAAATGGATAACGATCGCGATAATAAGTAATGAGGTCCACTCGCCCGGGGAAGGATATTCTTTGCACGGTGCACACGACTCGTTCCGATCCAGAGGCAACCGTGAAGTATGTAGACGGCGATTCCTTGGAAACCTTGAATGTATTTACCCATGGACCAGGTCACTGTCTCAATACTCCCGCCGTTCGACTAGAAACTCTCAACCTGTGGGAATCGTCAGGTAGACACGAGAAGAAGCTAACTGTGTGGCGGCGCCCCTCTCTCTCCCCACGACGTTTTCTTTAAGAATACACGGATTTCCCAATGATGCTTGCAGACAATGCCCCTCGGTGCCGTCGAAAAACGCACAAGTGTTATGAATTCTTGTAGGTCTTTCAGAAATTTCGTGCGACGAATAAATCTGGGTCGGATAAGGCCCGGTAGCCCGATTCTGCGATAACGTCGGCCTTTCTTTTCGGATTCTCATCGATCTTTCTCGAAAAAGATTATTCTTCGCTATGTAAACGCGCCTATAACTGCAAGATCAACTTCAGACGTTTCCTGCCTGTTTCGCACTCGAAATTCTCGAGCGCAACTGGAAGAGATTCTGGCGGGGCACATTGGCCGTATATGCGCGAGTAAATAGCGAAATAAAAAGAGAAGAAAGTGAGAGGAGGTGAAGGAGGAAGAGGAGTTGAAGGTGGCAAGAGAGGCGGAGAGACGGTCACCGCGAAATGTCGGCGATCTCCGATGTCACACAGAGAACCGTGCCGGCGTCCTGAAGCACTAGCAACAGAAGAAGAAGAAGAAGAAGACGTGAAGAGAGAAGAGAACTCCGGTCAGCTCGTGTTTCGGTTTTCGGCTTTCCAAGAAATATTTTCGTACGCCCCCTGCGCACAAGGAGCCTGTGTTCCCTCTCGCCTCCTTGGGGTAGATTCTCGATCCACCACCGGCCGTGAAACCCCGAGAAAGAGAGGTGTCCAATAACCGAGAATTCTCAACGCGGTAGGTTCGACCTGCCCTGGATAGGCTCGTGGATGACCGAGAGCTTTTTAAATGGCGCTTTAAAGTGTGCGCCGTTGGATTTGCTGCTGTGAAATCGCGTTCAAGTGACGGTTAAGAATGAGAGAGGGACAGCTCTGTCTTCTGTCCGGGAGAGGCGGCAGAAATATGTTCTTTAACGCGAAAAGGTCCTCGTATTTATGAGATACTTTCGAGGACTCTCTTGGGACGGAAGTCAATTCTTGCATGCGCCGTTAGAGGTTGCAAATGACACAAAAAGAAGCGTAAAAAACAAACAAAAAGATACCTTCTAACGATAGCCTTAATGTGGTCAGTATTGTTCTTTTTTAAATATAGTTACAAAGAGAGATACTTTGCACGAAGAGCGTGAGTTATCGTTATTTTAAGTAACTGGCTAATAGTTATTTTAAGTAACTGGGCTAATAGTTTCCAAGGAGATAATATGAACAGTACTCTCTGCCGTCATGAAAGTGGACTTTCGTGAACCCCTCGCGAGCTAAGTTGAAATTGTGATATACCGGTATCGTGAAAGCGAACTTTTTGATAGCTCGAATAAAGCGAATAGATCGCGTCGCGGAGTAATGATTAATTGCCCCCGAAAGCAGCTCTTTCGATGCACGGTGTGTCGTTCATTCTTCGCCAAGAATGTCATAAGCTTCTCGCGCCACCAAGAGTCTCGCTCCTCTTTGAGGGAAACAGTGAAAGAAACGAAATCCTCCGGGACCGCAGGGGGAAGGGGGAGGAGTTAGCATTTCGAAAGCCGAGGTTGACATTCCATCGCGGTAGGAAGTGCAGCCGATCAAAGACAACCCCAGGCCACTTCCGTACAATAAAGATCCTAATACAGATCCAAATCCTAGGTCGCGTCGCTAGACGGTCGGAGAGGCAAGGACGCGGGAGAAAGACGTATTCCGCGTTCTCGTGGGCGTATTCTTCTGATTCCGCGAAGGAATCGCGCACAATGCGCCGCGTCTAAGCACAAAGCTCTCGTTTGTCGGTTTCTATGCGCGCACGTTCGACTGATCCGAGTCGACGGTGCCCGACGACGGACCTTGCACTTCGCTGAATAATCTACATACAGAGTGTTTGACACCAACCATCCCATACCTCATGTGGATTAGCTTAAACTGAACACGAAATGCTTCCACTATTTTGCAAACAACCAATTTCGAATTGTTAATTAAACAAGATTGACGGATGATCACGCACGATGCAGCAGATGAATTGTGACGGCGACACTTGCCAATTATGCGCTTGCAGAGCTGCAATTCTAAGCAAATATACGAGTAAATTGTAAAATCGTAAAGTCATAGCTTACGAAAAAAAAAGAAAAAATCGTAGATATGTACGAGTTATCATGATATACGATCCGCATAGAATTGCAGATCTCTCATAAGTTCTTACAAGTCTTACGGAAACAAGTTACGAGTTTTACGATTTTGTCTAGAATTGCAGTATAAGTCAAATTGAATGAACAAGAAAGAATGACAAAAAAGATAAAGTAGACTTTTGAGTTATTGGTTAAAAAAGATTGATTGCGCGCGATATATATATATATATATATATATATATATATATATATATATATATATATATATATA